GGACACGGGCGACAGGTGTCCAAAATGGTAGTGGTCCACGTGGAAAAATAAATGAAAATGAAATATGACGTGGAAAGGGAGTGATGCAGGGGTTTGAAGGTCCGCGTTTCAAATTTGAAATTCAATTTGGAACAATTGTAGAGAGAGAGAAGCGAAGGTTCAGAGAGAGAGTGTGTAACCTAGAGAGAGGCCGAGAGACTTGGAGAAAGGGAGTTCGAGAGAGAGAGGTCCGACGGACTGCTGCCGGAGTGCCGCCGACACCGTTTAAATGTTGTCAAAAGTGGTTGTTCAAGTATCATTTTCCTAAATGATATATACATAGAACAATAAAAATTTCATGTAATACTCTCATCGTCAAATTAAACTTTATTTTATCTCAAAATGATTATAACTCCTTATGGTATTTGAATTTTCCAACAATTCCAAAATGTATAACTATATCCTAATATCTTCCTACAACTTAACCAATAATACAATCCACGCATCTAATTAAATACAAATATGAACAAAGTCTCCGTGTTATAAATCTAGATCATGAGTTTGTTAATGATTAATTTTGATGTACAATTAACATCTGTTGACTAGATAATTGTCCACATTCCCCTTCTATATATCAAACAAAAAGAGAATTGGTTGAATGTTAACTTACATATATATCATTATTATGATTAACCTAATTCAATGTATCCTATGTCACTTTCTTAGAGGTTTACTTTGTCACAAAAATAAATGTTATATCACACTATACTCTTAGAGAACATAGGCAAAAAGTGATTTTTATAAAGATGAAATTATTATTAAATAAATAATGATATTATTATAACCTATTTATAGAATTTTTACTCTATCCATTAAAAACTACATCTCAAAAAAAAAATATCATACATTTAATATTATAATGGAAAGAGTATGATATTTTTCTTTTAAAAAAACCTTTAATTATAGGTATCTATATTTTACGCATTTGTACAAATTATATAGTGTACTTTTACATTTTTATTCAATTATACACTACTTTTTATGTATTAGATTCACATTATAAAGAATTGAAATATTCACTAATAAGAAAATATAATTTAATTCCATAAATTGAAAATAACATTTTGTGAAATTAAAAAAAATTTAAAAGTAAAATCTTTCACTGAGGGTCAAAATAATACTACTCCCAACTTGGGAATTAATAACTATTTAAGTAACTATATAATATATAATATTTTACAATAATTAGATAAATTCAATTTACTTTAACATATTTAATGTAAAAGTCAATACATTTATTCTCTTGACACTGAGCGATAGTTTCGCATCTCATATTATTTATGTACCTATTATTTATTCATCCTTTGTGAAGGTACCCAACTATAAAGGCGCTGGGTAGGATATTTTGAGTTTTGGTGATTATAGTTGGAGGAAGAATGAATGTTGAAGAAGAGGTTCAGCGACTCAGCCAAGAAATCAAGAGGCTTGGCAAGGTCCAAGAAGATGGTTCTTACAAGGTCTTTATAACAAAATCTCATCTTTCAATCTTCTTTTTATATCATGTTGCTATGAATCACATTTATGGAACTTCAAGCTCACAATTTCTTCACCACCTCTTCCTTATACACGCATAATAATATATGTTATAGATCTAGATCATGAGTTTGTTAATGGGATCCTGGGTCGTTGAGAAAGTCGGATCTTGACTTCGTTCACATGGATCTTATTTTATCTGAGTCAATCTCAGGATCTCTTAGGTATTGGATTGAAAACTGAAGGTAGTTTTGGTAACCGAGAAAGGTAGATCTTTCCTTTCCTTGGGAAAATTGTGATTCGAACCACCTCGCTGTTTTGCATAGATTAGGATGAATGAAATGGGAAAGGACAGTTCCATCTTAAGGAAAAAAAGGACGTAATACCTGCTAATAATGAACTGAAACTTAAGCATCAACAATTGTTTTCATTAGAAACAATTTTATTTACCTGTCCCAATTACTCTTCAACAGGAAATGAGAGAGAAAAAGATGTAAAACTAGAATATAAGTAATATGATGTAGTAAGAAGAGAAATAAACATGCTGATAGCATATTTAAATGGGGTGTCTTACTGGATTGAAAATTGGGAACGGGAGATGGTCGTAGAACCATTCAATACAAGGTTGACCTGCTCAGGGAAACAGAAGAATGCTGCCCTTTTCTACGTGATTCATTGAAGTAACAAGTCAAAATTTGCGATCCAAGAGCATGTCATCATAGTAATAACTAAACTCTGACTTTGATGTTCATATTGTTGAAGGAGGCAGCAAGTAAAACTCACTGCATTCATGGAAAATAAAGGGTGAATTTATTTCCTCGTCAATGAGCATGTGCGTGCAATTTGTAATTTTCATGTTTTAATCTTTAGGTGGAGATTTTTGCTGATATGTTCTATATACCCTTCTGAATAGAGCTCTCTTGAGATTAACAAAATATCATCTTTTATTGTGAAGGTGACATTTGGAACACTATTTAATGATGACGAATGTGCAAACATATTTGAAGCACTTGTTGGGACACTGAGAGCAGCGAAAAGGAGAAAAGTACTGACATACGAAGGTGAGCTACTGCTGCAAGGAGTCCATGATAACGTGGAAATTACACTTAGTCCTCCTGCCTCTGCCGCATCATAAACTTGAAACACCAACTTGTTTTTATGACCCTTGTAATGGTATAATGCGTGCAATATATATAAGCGTGTGGAGGAGACTTCAGGCATTATCTCCTCGTATTACCATTCAGGTTGAGGTAAATGTTTAAGCATGCATCAAATGCTAAAACCAGAATTTGTTGATTGCAATTTTTATGAAACGATGTTATACCTACTTGTGCACATTGTTAGTCCTTTTCGTCAATAGTTACCGTCGTTTTATTCTCTCATTATGATGCAGACCTATCACCATTGGAAAAACTAACATCAAGTAAATTTGTATCTAAAGTTAGCATGCCTTTGCTGCAGCGTTCCCCATGTAGCAGGGTAATATCCCAAAAAAGTAACAAGTGACAAAAATCTTGACCTGTTGAATATGAGTCGCCAATACTAGTAAAAAAAATAAAAATCAAGTGACAGTAGTTAAATCAGTACACTGCCTCGCAGTGAACAACTTGTGTGAATTGAATTAGCAACCTGTTACGAGATGTCTATTGCAACTCTTAATAGGTCTGTTGTCACTTACATTTACATAATTTTTATCTAAAGTAGTTTTTTTATTAGCTAAATTTCATGAAATTGAATTAAATGAGTGACAACGACATATTAAGTAACATTAGACACCAAGATTACTGGCAGGGCATAGTAAAAAACTGCGTGAATTTTTCCTATATTATACGTGCTTTCGGGTAGGATAAAAAAGGGTTTCGAAAAATTGGCGAAACTACTTGAAAAGTAAAGGGGTACTGTCACGGCGATCCAGTAAGAATAAAGGCTTGGAGAAGGCTCTGCGCTGCTCGGGTTTCATCAGGTGTACCGGATATGACAATAGTCCGGTCACTTGTTCCGGGAAGAGGTTCATGGACGATGACCTCAGCCCCTGATATCTGACAACGGAAACACAATTAAGTTAAAATAGTGGGGATAACAGTGTATTCCACAATATCTTTGAAACAAGACTAGTCTCATTGTTTGTCACGACAATGCTACATTTCCAGAATGTCAAATTTTCTCCTACTAGAACCAATAACCAATTACAAAATCATAGTAGTGACCACGCAAAAGATTAATGTGAGGAGCACTTTGGCAACTAAACAAAGTATATATACATATACTTATCCGGAATGGGGTACCTGTCTCAAGCGAACCAGATTGCTACTGTTTTCCCCATATACAGAGCCAATAATATCCTCGGGAACCACAATTTGCACAGTTGTATTAGTAACAATTGAAGTTTTACTCCCACTGCAGACCAAAGAGAGTCATAATAAGTGCTCATCATTTTGTAACATACTGTTATACACGCTCAAGTGATTATTTCCGAGTTCCAATAAGTTGTTGCTGAAAATGAAAACAATTATTTTCTTTTTTCATGCTTTTGGGGCTGAGGAAGGCCTCAGTGAAGAATTTAATGGGATTTCATATTCTTTTCTAAGAGAAGATTCAAATACACAAACCCAAGTTATGCAACTGCAATGGGGCAGAAAGTAAACAAGGTGAGCCAAGCTCTGTTCACATTAAAAACCATGTCCTAGCAGTCCCAAAACTTCACTCGATGCCTGGGCTCCGAATAATAGCAAATAAACAATGCTCTCATAAAGGTCAATGTTGAATAAAAAAAAGGATGCTAGTCAAAGTGTATTGACTTTTCACCAAACAGCAGAGTAACTGGCACAACAGAAACAACTCTATGTAAACAAGAAATGCAGTATGAGTTTGTCATCAACAAGAAATGCAAACAGGTGACCTGATCTGACCTAGTATGCCACAGAAATCACCACTGGTTATACAAATCATACTGTTCCTAGTTATGCAGATCTATGATCCTGAAAATACTAAGAAGGCCTAATTGATCAGCATTAAAGCATGTGTAATTTATTTGGCATAACACATACCTGACAACTTCTAAATCACCGTTTTGAGAAATCAATCCTCGACTAACACCATTGGTGCCACTGGAGTTTATTCCAGATACTGTCTGCAGCCAAATTTAATTAGTTCATAGGGAAAACTTGGAAAGGAAAACAAGCCAGCAGAGAGAAAGCAAAATACCAGTGGTGCCTGTAATCCTGGAAAAGAATGTCTATTGAGACCATGAGAAACAGCAACAGTTGGTTGGCCTCCAGCTAGAACAGAGGAAAGGCTCCTTCCTCCACCACTGTTTTGTGTACTGACAAATAGATGATATCGCAGTCTACTAGTTGCATTATATATTGCACTTTGAACATTCAAAAACTCCCCTGATATCTGAGGGAAAAGTGAATAATGGTTTTAAAAAGTGTTGAAACATGATTGCAAGACTTCTCCTGAGGATTTAGGGTGCATTTAGATTTGAGTTAGAAAGTTGACTTGAGTTGAACTCAACTAGAGTCAAGAAAAAGCAGCTGTTACGTTTTTGGGTAAGAAATGTAATGAACCACGATCACAGTAGGCAGAAAAGATAATGAAAGAATGAATTTCTCTTATTAATGGTAATAGAATTCTGTAAACAAAGGATAGTTGGGAGCATAACCTCCCTTACAAAACAAGGATAGATGGGAGCATAACCTCCCTCACAGGACTGTAGCCGCCTGTCAACAAACTCAATAATCAAAACATAACCCTAACAATAGCATCGAGCTTTATTTATATTAAATATTTCCCTAGAATATAGCTCTATTTATTATAATTATCTTATACTAAATATTTCCCTAGGATATAACTCTATTTACTATAATTATTACTAAATAATTATTAGGGTAGTAACTCTTCAATCGATTGGCTTGAGTTCTTCACCTCTTTCCACCGCTCAGCTCGAGCCCTCACTGCCTTCAACCGTTCGACTCAATTCCTCATTGCCTTCCATAGTTCCGCTTGACCTCTCCCTGCCTTCCACCGTTCGGTGTCCTTCTTCTTCTCCCTCACCACCTTCCACTGTTTGGCTTGCCCTCACCCTGCCTTCCACCGTTCAGCTCGACCTCTACCCGTCTTCCACCGTTCGGTGCCCTTCTTCTCTCATATACTTTCTTCTTCTCTCGTATACCTTCCAACCCCTAACAACATCTATTACCTTATATCCTATCAGCAACTCAGTGTAGCTTTTAATTCAATTATAGTTTGAGATAGATTTTACTTCTAACTGTGAACAAGAATTGCCAAACATGTTGACACAATGTTCCAAACACACCCTTAATAAACATATTTAACGAAATACATATACAAGAGGTTTATGACCCAAGATAGACATCCTCTTGCAAATAATATGGTTCTTGTCAACTTTAAATGTTAGAAAAACATTGGATTTAATAAGGAAAAGTGGTAGAATATCATAGCATTAAGCATTTGTCATAATCACTATACATATCAACAAGGAGATCATTAAAACCACATTTCAATATTTTGCTAGTATTAAGATCAGATCTCTAGATAAAAAAACCACATGAAGATAAAAATCGAGCAGCCCCAATATAACACTTGCAGTTACTAATGACATGCATCAGAAAGACCACAAATTCAGAACTAATGTCAAGATGATAACGAGGCTAAAAGTCTTTGAGACACAAAGAATAGGTACTCCAACTTTAAAATCAAACTTTTAGTCTCTATAAAATAGAGAATACAACTTATATTTCAATTGTAGCTCTAAAGGAAAAATGTAACGTTTTGAGCGATTAATAATGTTAAGAATTGGACTTTTAAAACTAATTCAATCCTACAAAATCAGTTTGTAACATAAGGTTTACACCCATATGTATACTATAAGCTGACCTTATCGTTAGTTGATATGAAACTTTCAACAAATAACATGTTTTGACATATAAACAGTAAGAATAGTTAAGAGTAAACAAAGAATCTAAACCCAAGTGTCTTAGTCATAACCCAACTTTCTATAACAAAAAACCTTTATATACACATTGCAATGCACACTCTAATTACGTGGAGTTTTTAGAGCATATTTCATTTCTTATGGATAACTTAAAATAATTCATGACAAAATATGTTGTTTGGATAGAGAATTTAAAAAAAAATTGAAACTTTAGAAATATATCGGAGTATTTTGATTACTTGAAATTGTAGAATTTCAGATTCCATCTAAAAACTAAGAATTTGAAATTTTCCATCCTCTTCTCTCTAACATCAACATCTATGTCTCTTCTCTCACATCAAATATTTAAAATAAGCTAATCTTTGGTACTAAAATTTCAACATGCACGTGTGTATACATTAGATATAGTAGAAATTATATTACTCAATCCAAATTGAGAATTGAACATTTAAAAAATTTAAATTAATTTATCCAAAGAAAGCATATGAAAATGTAAGAAATTTAGATCATAGCATTTCAAATTTTAAAATTCCTCATCCAAACTTAACAAAGCTACTTATTGCTCCAAAAAGCATCTAGAAGGAAATAAATACAATCTATACACTCAGAGTGGGGGGTAGTAACTAAGACACTCAGCGTTCAGAAACGCAAAAAAGGTTACAAATTGAGGATAAAAATGGGTCATATTTTAGTATGAGCTATGCATGAACAATCATAGTAACTGTACATCGTATCTAAATCCATATTCTTGTTGTTTAATAGGATATATAAATATAACGTACTAGTTAATCAAAGACACTTTCTCCTCCAAAAAATTACATGAAACAAAGGCCTTATGATCAGGCTAAACTTATTCCTCCAACAAATAAGCACAATTATCTATATTTATAAGGATAAGCCTGAGGGAGTTGGAAGCTTGGTGTATGTCAATCAAAAGTATCACTAGTAAAAAAGAGTCAAAATCTCAAACATGTATAATGAACAGAATTTAGGCTGGGAGAAGCAATTTCGTTATATAAGTAGTGGCATGGTGAGAATCATTCACTTGTATTGTATTCTGATAGGATCTAGGGTGATAGGATATAATGGGTAATGGGATTAGGATAGAAGGAAGAGGAATTGTATAAAAAGTACTCTGTTATGTTGTCAGGGAGTAGTTTTTGAGTATTGATTGTACAGACAGGCACTTTTGGGTCCTGTGAGGGAGGTTATGCTCCCAACCATTCTTTGTAAAGAGAATTTTATTGCTGTCAATAATAGAAATTCATTCATTCACTATTCTTTTGGTTTACTGTGAGCGTTGATAGTTAGGTTTCAAACCCAGGAACCTAAGGATCCAATTAAAGGCGGAGCGAGACGGTGGGCAAGCT